AAGTGAAACTAGAAACACTGACATAAGACATAAACCTTCAAAATAAAACGGGAAACAATTCACAAAGACACAGACTTGACACTGAACTAAACCTATACTAAACACCAGGGCACAAGAAGAAAACCTGGGAACTAAACCCTTAACCAGAATAAACTGAAACATAGATTTATAATAATGATCAACAAAGCACAACAAGGGAATCAGAATATAACCCATAATACAAAATCAAACCAAAACATAAGAACTCCAGCATTTTGACAAAAATAGTAAAAGAACAGCAAGAGACTCAAAAATAAAACCAAACTAAAAGTAATGAAGTTAAAGAATCCAACCACAAAACACTTAATAAATACAAAAAATTACAAAGCAACTCAAAACCCGGCGACCAAAATAAAAAGGTCGCTGCTGTCATGGACAGCCTCCAATGCCACCATCTTGTTCTGCTCCAGAAACTCGCTGCAGGATCACATGAACCAGAACTTGCTTGCTACACTGATCTCAGACAACTGATATTTCTCAGTTTTTTATTAGCTGCAAATAAAAGTATTTCCAGAGGAGAAACTATATAAACCATTAAATGATAATCAACTTAGAAAAAGCATATGTACATCTAATCTTGCGGTGCTTGCATGCATGCCACATGAATCCCATAAATCTGTAGGAAGTGCCGCCATATTAAGGAGATCCCCTGTGATGTCATACAGATGCACAGGTTGGAAAAAAAACTGTCTGAGTCTGGGTTTTTACAACAGTTCGAGGCCTCAGGCTATGGGTCACAGGGACCACTTGCATATATGCTGATTATTTCATACCTCTGGCTACCCCTATTATGAGCATCCATCAGTGTAACGGTCTATATATGACAGAAAGCAAGGAAACGCATAATAGCTCCATTTTAAACATCAGTTTAAGAATTTATTTCTGTCAAGTGGTTTATATTAGAAGGTTTTACAGTGAACTGTTAATCAGGTGAGACTAATCCAAAACACAGCCTGGAAACTACTGTTTGTGCCTGTAGCTGACAAGAGGTTCAATAAATAAATGTGGTAAACACAGCTGGAATTACGACGTAACAATCCTGACGAGCATTAAAACTGGCAATATTTTTTTAAGCGCTACCGTGAGGCATCCATTTCCACGTCGTGCTTTTAGAAAAGCAGCTAAGCAGAGTATGTTCTCAAGCATGCACTACTTCATATGAGTCAAAGTCTTAACAGGGAATTTGTAGAGCTGCTCAGACATGCAGTGAAACCACATGCAAGGCTTTTCGGCCCAGACCAAAATCCTAGCAGAAGCTTCCCTCAAACAGCTGAAAAAAGTGTTTTTAGACCTGAAAATGCTTCACTCAAAACATCAGACCCACTGTACTTTGTCTCAGCCGTCTAACTAAACAAAAACTCCCTCAAACATAAGCCTTTAATATCAAAGAAGGCAAACTACAAGACTTTTTTTAAGGTTGCCATGTGGGAGAGAAATGAGTCCTACCTTGAGCAAAAGCCTCTTGTACATCACCTCCCACCCCAGCGAGGGAGTCCTGAGGAGGATACATGTGTGCCTGGGAGGGTACAGCACCTACAGAGCGGACGGCTGACGGGCTCGGCCGAGAGGGAGAGGAGTGAGAAGAGCCGGCTGCCTGCGCCTACAAGGTGAGAGGAGTTTTAGATTACAAGATCACACCTTTTGCATTTTGCTTGAATATACGTCCAGTGTGTGGACTTATCTAACTTAACCTTTTAGTTTGGATAACAATTAATTACTAGAACCAGCTGACATGGCTTGGGCATCTGAACAGGATGCCTCCAGGTGACCTGCTTAAGCTTGATTTAGACTTCTGCGGTAAATCTACGTTCTAACCGGAAACCAGTTTTAACCCTACATCACAACCTTCCGCACCATTCAAGTCATTTGAATGGCATGAGGTCGCGTCGACCCAAAATATAGTAATATTTCTCAGGAGGTGAAGGTCAGGTTATGGCATAGGATTAAACAGAGTTTCCAGGTACGTCGTAAGTTAGGACGTAGATTGCCTATAAGTGGCATAAAATAGAAGTAGTTAATTATTAACTTAAACGACGAGGATGAAAACGAGACCAGAGTATTACAAAAACAGGCACACTTAGAAATGGATGGTTCAGGTTAAAAACCAGGCTTTGCTTGACTGGAGTCATCACAAACACACTCACTCTAACGTCACTGTGTTTCCAGAGTTGTTCACTTGCTTTGTGTTAGGATGTTGCCTGTGCAAGTGCTTGCAAAGAGTCATGAGTCACCTTAGCGGCTGTTGTTTCTGGTGTGATTGTAGCTTGCACTTTACCATGACGCTCTGGGCCTTTTTATGTGCTGAAAATAAAAGTAACGTCCAAATCGCCGCTCATCCGCTCAGCTATTTTCCTCCCTGCACATGAACTGAAGTCAGCTGATTGTTGTGCAAGTGTGCAGGAAAAGGGAGTGTTTTGGTTTCTTTTCTGTCGTGAAGAGGTTTTCAATCTTTGCTCACCACCTGCCCTGCTTTCCGTGATTTTTTTCCTCTTCCCCGAAATGACTTTAAAGTTTAAACACTGGGTTTGTGTGGCGGAAGCATCGTGACAGGGATCGCCAGAAAAATAACTGCAGTGATGCACATGGAGAGCGCTCTGAAGGCGCGATCAGCCACATTTAAATCATGTACAGGCCTGTTTTTGCAACTTTTTGATTGCATGTGATATTTCAGGTGACTAATAAGGACTGAATCCCACAGTTTCTTCAGTGTTTCCAACAAAAAGGTATGGACTTACTGCCTGTCGCTGTTCCTCATCCTACAGGGACCACAACATGGGCAGCCGGAAAACAAAGAGGGCGGAAAAGAAGAATGGAAAACAAGAGGTCAGACACAATGAGAGCCAGAAAAGTCATAGAGGAAGAAACATCAGAGGGGAAAATGAGGCTTGTTACTGCAAGGACAGAAAGAGGGGGGTGTGAGGAGCAAGGGAGGCTTTGCCCTCTAGTGTGAGAAAATACAAACTGCTGGAGATTTAAATCAGTGTGTGTGTGTGTGTGTGTGTGTGTGTGTGTGTGTGTGTGTGTGTGTGTGT